ATCCAGCATCTTCGCTGTTTTTGGTCTGCAGCCTTATTTTACGTTGATATAAATAAGATAAGATGTTTCTTGCTGCTACTTTACTGCTTTGATGGGGTGATTAAGATCTTGGCATTGAGATGTTCCCAATAAAAGATTATATAAAGACCAAAGCAGCATTAATCCCATATAAGTTCTATTGTTTTTAAACAGCAGCTTCCAACTAAGCTGTGTAAAAATGTATTAGTAGAATAGAGATAAACTAAAACTGACAGGTAGAAAGCCAGTATCGATAAGAATCCATAGGTAAAATATTAAAAGCCTGTGAAACGTTTTTCATTGGAGCTGCGGAGGCTTTTCTACTATTATATTCCAAAAACACCAATTAAAACCTCTTGGGTCTTATCCGATTAACTTCTGAAAGTGAAATTAACTTTTTTTTTTTTTATATATATTTACACCATGGCGAACTGGTTTTATAAAGGAATATAAAGAAAACGCAGGTGTTCATCCTGGGGCTAAATGTCGCTGGCATACAAAAATTATATAATGGCAACAAAGTGAAAATAATTAGTACATTTTTTCATTCTTCATTTAGTTTTTTTTAATACTTCGGGTATTTTTTTTCACAGAAGTTTTGAAAAGGTAAAAGAATATAATTGATTGAATTTTTAACAAAAAAAAAAAAAAACAGCTGACAACCATTATGCATCAGAGATCACATCTGTAAAACCTTATTAAAATAAAGGGTGTATATATATATATATATATAAATATGTGTGTGTGTGTGTGTATCTTAATTTTAGAACTTCCAAAAAAGTAAAAAGAAGTTTGAAGATGTTTCGCTTCCCATCCAGGAAAATTTTTTAGTTCAAAATGTCAGAATTAGCGTTGAGTTCGCGGCTTTATAGAGTGAACCAAAAACAAAGCCTTGCTTTGGTTTAAAAAACATGCAAATTGAACTGGAAGAACAGGTCCACCCTTTAGGAATAGGGAGTAGTTTTGGTTCTTTGTTAGCCTGCAACACCTGATACTGGTCTATACCTCTGAAATGGGACGAGACGTTCAATAAAGCCTTGACCTCAACACTATTCCTGACTTTAAATTGTATAAAGCTTCCTGGATGGGAAGCTAAATGTCTTCAAACTTGTAAACAAAGTCCAGTGGATTGTTTCTTTAAATTTTTTTTTTTAACTTTTTTGGAATGACTATGAACCTGATAAATGAGAATCTTCACCAGCTTAATTTTAGAATCTTTTAGTTTTATAACTGCACAATACACTTTCAGTTGTTGCTTTTCCCTTTGGATTTATTTTATGCTTAATTCATTTTTATGTTTTTTCTCCATATCAGTTTTCTTTCGTTAGTTTTAGCGAACTGTTATCTCCATGATTGTGAGATGCCTGAAAGGAAATCCAGAAAGCTGCACCTCCTTATCAATGACATTTTCTGGGTCAATTTCTACCCACGGTTTCCTGATTTGATTCCACATCCTATAATGAAAACAAATGAACTAGAACCACCAGCCCAGTTCCTGTAGTGGAAACACCCCTTTAGGACATCAATGTATGTATCATATTAGGTTATTTCTCCTCACTGAAAGGTTTATTTCCCGTGATTTACTTTGGGCTATTGGTTATTACAGAAATGACAAGACAAAGGCAAAAAAACTATCACTAAAACTGGGCTAAATGCTTTAAATTGTCCTCCAGATTCCTCTGTGTAGAATGATGAGCTCTGGACTGTTTGGGAATGACTTTTCCTGGAATGATCGGCAGCAACAGTTGCTTCCATTAGATTAGTGCTGCTCTATATCCTCCAATGGTGTTGTTTTAGCCCCCAGTTTTATTTTCCTTACAGAAAAAAAGTGTAATATGTTGCTGTTTGTCTATAAATACCATTTCTATATAGTCCTTTTGATCATTTACAATGAACTTTATTTAATAATGGTCATTACTCCCCATGTAGTAAGTCTAAAAGCTTATTTTAAGCAAAAATGGGTAACAGATGATAAACTTCCTCTCATCTGATTTTATAGATATCTAGGTTTATTCCCTGTACAAACTACAAGAAGCAGCAGTAAATCTCCTTTCATAAAGTAGCACCAGCTGTGGGAAATGTCAATTTGTAACCTGCTTTAACTTTACGAGGGAGATTCCCATGTCTGCATACCTGTATGTCCCGATAGCATTTGATGAAGCAGCAAGTTCCCCTAAGATTATGAAGCAGTCAATGGCAGCGTGCTTGTCATTGTCCTCAAGAACTTAGGACCACAGCTTAGAAAGAGTAAGCCAGGAGGCTTGTTTGCAAGGATGACCAGCAGCACGAAAATATCTCTGCAATGCCAGGATGGCGATGAGCTTCTGGAAACGTGTTAAGAATAGCCTGACAATAGAGCGTGCTCCTGTCTTCTGTTGTCTGAGGACAGACGGCTGGCTCCACAGGGCAGATGAAGAGGTAAGAGGTAGAGCTCCATTTGGGCTGTCAGACTGTTGGTTTTCATAAAAGTTGGGTCTGGATACGCGCTTCAACCTGTAGAACTACTGTGATCTTTAGAAGGTAAAGAGATTAGTTGAAAGATGTAGAGGGAAGCCTTAACTGCAGGATTTTTTTTAGACTTATTAAGAACAAAAGTGGGAGAATTTACCAAGTTTAAGCCCAATAAACATGGTGGGATCAAGTGTCTCCGAGATCCTTTTTATCTCTGTCAATCGCAGCATCACTTTGATGGGTGAGTACATTTCTCTTTATGTCCTTTAAGAATCTGTTTTCAGAGTGATATAAGTGATTGGTGTCATCTGATAGGAAAGGTGTGGCTCATTGTGATGATCTTCCTCCGAGTCCTGATCCTCCTCTTCGCCGGTTACCCTCTCTACCGGGACGAGCAGGAGAGGTTCGTCTGTAACACCATCCAACCCGGTTGTGCCAACGTCTGCTACGATCTTTTCTCTCCCGTCTCCCTCTTCCGCTTCTGGCTGTTGCAGCTCGTCACCCTGTGTCTGCCTTACATCATCTTCGTAATCTACGTCATCCATAAGGTGTCCAACGCACTCTCTGCGGCTCTGAACTCAACCGGACACGTCAAAACCTTTCAGCTGTTCAAGCCCCACAGGGAGAAGTTTAACCAGATGCGTTTGAACAAGGTGGCTGAGCAGAGAGGAGGGCCGCGGTCCTTCGCTGGAGCCTACATCCTCCATCTGCTGTTCAGGACGCTGCTGGAGGCCGGCTTTGGGGCAGCTCATTATTACATGTTCGGTTTCTACATCCCCAAGAGGTTCCTGTGCCAACATGTTCCATGCACCACCCAGGTGGACTGCTACATCTCCAGACCCACAGAGAAGACAGTGATGCTCAACTTCATGCTCGCTGTGGCTGCTCTGTCCCTTTTCCTCAACGTTCTGGATTTCATTTGGGCCATCAAGCGATCACTAAAGCACAGCAAGAGGAGGATGACAGTAGAGAAAATATTTGAGGAGGAACGCTGCTTTCTCTCAGATGGAGTGGAGTCCTCCGGCATGGATGCAAAATCATCTCCTACTCTGCAAAACCTGGAGGCGCAACTTGGGAAAACGGAAAGTTTCCGGAAGAGGCGCGGTAGTAAAACCTCTCGAGGAGGAGAGACATTGTATTCAGGTCAAGAGGCATCTACCCTGGAGCGTTGCTCTCACCCTTCAGGACCTCCATGCTGTAACAGTGGTAACAACGACATCTTGATCTCCCAAGAGGAAGTTCTAGAGAGGAATGGCAGTGAGGTGGCCCTCTGCCCCCAGGAGACTCTGGGAACTCCGAGATCCATAAGAGTCAGCAAACGAAGCCGACTCAAACCTCCACCTCCACCTAGGCTGGACATCAGGCTACCATCTGGGGAGCTGGTACCCCCAGTCAGGGATATTTCCACGAAGACAGCAGTCTGTACCAGGGGGGGTCAATATTCCCTGTTTGAACTGGGAAACGGTGTTGAACTTCAAAGCAGTGAAGGTGGGCAGGAGAAAAGGTCTGAGTGGGTTTGAGTTTTTAGGCAATCTCTAAAAAACGTTAACACATACCATAAAATATAATGAGAGATGCACCAACCAGGGATTTGTAGCTCAGAATGTGATCTCAGATCCCCTGAAAGGGATTTTTAGTCTGTCCAAATTTCTCTTTAGAAATGTGCAGATTGTTAAATGCTGTCGATCCTGCAACAGGGAATCATAATTGGGTGAACTGGGATCAGAGATGTTACACTTTTGATATTCGTTTGGGTAAAATGACTCCAAGACAGGTATTTGATGATGATCCGTTGATTGTGGATGGAGGATCCTTTTGCTATCCAAACAAGTCGGCTACAAAACCACCAATATTGCAAAATGTCTAAATAACTGTCATTACTTGTACCTGATAGTTCTTATGCATGGTTTGTTTACTCAATTAAAAAAAAGGGTCGGATTTTTCCCAGATCCCATTGGTTAGGTTGGTATCAAGCTGCTAATCGATCTCTTGACATGCTTTGATATAATCCATTTTGTTGTTGTTTTTCTTATTTTATTTTTAATCAATTTCTTGCACTGCAAAAAATAGAAATCTAATTAAGTAATTTTTACTTAAAATAAGTGCATTTTCTCTTTAATTGAGGACGAAAGTGAGACACTTTGCCAATGGAACAAGACAATTTACATTTAAAATGAGAAAAAAACAATTGCATTGTCTTATTTCAAGTTCATATTATCTAATTATCTTATTTTAAGAGAAAATATATACTAATTTCATTGGCAAATCATCATATTTACCTACTCAAATTAAGGGTAAATACCTTAATTTAAGAAATTTGTATTTATTTCTAGATCGTTTTTGCAGTTTTGATTAAATTGTCCTTAAGCAATACCTTGTCCTTGATCTTGGAATAAAAAAAGCCCACCTGTTTGTTTCCGTAAGGACTTTAAACCCCGCCCCCTCCAGAACTGTCCACTACAAAGGCAAGTCTTGACTTGACCTCTCCTCCCCAACAGAAATGCCTTTTTATGATTCCAGCCTGGATAGTCCTGCTTTTGAGTGTGGATCAGTGGGGTCAAAGTGGACAGGAGGCAGCCTCTCGCCGGGGTCAGAGGGTCCGACTAAAATCAGAGTCAATGCCATTACCCAACCTATAGATGGAAAAAGGATTCCTCCTGCAAAGTGAAGGACACCGTGAAGGCCCCTAAAGCTGACATAAGGTTGATCACTAAGTAATTATGCTCTCCTCCCTGTAGGGGCCCTGTATTTATGGCGACAGCTTGCCACTCTATTTCAGGGCCTCTCAGAGCTCAGGAGGTACACAAACCTCAGTACCCTTCCACTCCAGAAATAGAGCCCAGAGCAGTGGAGTGCAAACTGTTGCCCTGCAGGATTTGGAGCATCGCTGCGTTTGCTGAGGCTTTAGTTTCCTCTCCATCAAAGCTTGCGTTAATGTGACACTAATGTCCCGCAGTGACACATGCCTTTCACCGACAGTCTGACGTGTTGCTGTGTTTACACAGCCAGTAAAAACCACTTTAAAGTATTTACACAAAATGACTGAAATAAATCATCACTGCACAGCTGAGGGGCTTATCTTTGTGTAAAGAGATAGCTCTGGATCTTCCTCTTCTTCTGTTGTTTTGTTTAAAAGATGACAACAAAAGCTCCCTGATTCGTATGGACTGGTACAGAGCGCTGGCTAAAACCCTGACTGTGAGACATTTCTTTTTGCCTCAGACAAAAGCACGTATGGGAAACTTTTTTTTTATTTATCTCTAAGGAATCATCACGGTGTTTGTTAAACTGAATTACCAACAGTTATTTTACATTACAATCCTAAACTTCAAGGTATATAATGCAATTTTGGAGCGCTATCACATCTTAATACAGTTCTGAAAACAAACAAAAAAAATCCTAAACATCTTATTCAGATCGTTTGTAGTGCGGCAGACATTTTCATGTTGCTAGTTTCTCAGTCAGGTTAAAATCTAAACATTGAATTGTTTGCATTAATCTGCTTGGTGTAGAAAATGTTATTTTAGCTCTGGTCATATGTTGGGTTTTGCTCCTAGGGGGAGATCAAAGGCTCTGACAGCTTTGATGTGTTTATTGATCTTTCCTGTCCCTGCTAAATTAAAGCCTGCTCACAGCATGACGCAGCCACCACTGTGCTTAACTGAAGGATTCTTGTATCAAGGAGGATGTTCAATTCAATTCAGTTTAATTCAGTTTCAATTTATATAGTGCCAAATTCACAACACAAGTCATCTCAAGGCACTTTACAGTTCAACCAGATCATACAGTCAAATTGATACAAAGTTTTCTATCTAAGGAAAACCAGTTGATTGCATCGACTCATTGACTAAAATGCAATCCCTCACACTAAGCATGCTTGTAGCGACAGTGGAGAGGAAAAACTCCCTTTTAACAGGAAGAAACCTCCAACCTCCAGGCTCAGTGTGAGCGGCCATCTGCTGAGGTCGACTGGGGTTCAAGGAGACAGAAGCAGAGACACAAAAAGCAGCTGTAAAAGTTCTGTGTTAGTTTCTGCATTTGGAATCTGAAGTAAATTCAGCACATCTTTTCCCATATTTCAGATTTGACCCCTTCATGACTCACAGTATAGAAGGGGGTTGTTATGGCCTTCTTTTAACAATTATACTACCATTCAAATTGAAATGTCCTTATTTTTGAAGGAAAAGCACTGTACTTTTCAATGAGGAAACTTTAAACTAGTCTTAACTTTAAAGAAATACACTCTATACATTGCTAATGAGGTAAATGACTATTCTAGCTGCAAATGTCTGGTTTTTGGTGCAATATCTACATAGGTGTATAGAGGCCCATTTCCAGCAACGATCACTCCAGTGTTCTAATGGTACAATGTGTTTGCTCATTGGCTCAGAGGGCTAATTGATGATTAGAAAACCCTTGTGCAATCATGTTTACACATCTGAAAACAGTTTAGCTCGTTACAGAAGCTACAAAACTGACCTTCCTTTGAGCAGATTGAGTTTCTGGAGCATCACATTTGTGGGCTCAATTAACGCTCAAAATGGCCACTTTCATCTGAAACTTGACAATCTATTCTTGTTCTTAGAAATGAAGGCTAGAATAGTCATTTACCACGTTAGCAATGTATAGAGTTTATTTCTTTAAAGTTAAGACTAGTTTAAAGTTATCTTCATTGAAAAGTACAGTGCTTTTGCTTAAAAAATAAGGACATTTCAATGTGACCCCAAACTTTTAAACGGTAGTGTATGTTAAATACAGTAAGTGGATTCCTTCTGCCTAAAGTATCAACAATACTCTTATCCTTGAACCTACACTTAGTTTTCATGATGATGCTTGTTTAAAAATGCTCTTCAACAAACCTTTGAGGCCTTTGCAAACCAGCTGGATTTGTGAGGCTGTTTAATAATACTTAGGTAAACTTTCTTATAACTTTTGAAGGCGATTTGTTGCACTTGATTTAATTTCAGGGTAACACGCAGAATTCAAAGGTGCTCCACCTTTTTCATATTTTTATTTATGCACCATTTTGGAACCAGTCAATATTCTTGCAAAGATTTTTGTCTGTTTTTCATTTAAAATCATTATAAGAAGAAAAAAAAGTATTGTTGTAAAGGAGGAAAAAATGTTTTAGGGGTGGGAAATTGCTTCTTGGGTATTGCAATTGCAGGCAGCCAAGATAATGAGCCAATCAAAGTCCAATATTGCCTAAAATCAAATAGAATGCTTCTCTGTTTTTTAATGAATCATGTTTTAGTTCTTTTTCATCATTGCTTTGGTTAAGCTCACTCTTTTTTCAAACTCTGCTGCCATCTAGTGACGCTTAATTACAACTGCAACCTAAGATTTTATGTTTCTTCTCATCTTCTGATTCTTTGCTGTAGCCTAATATTTTAAAAGTATTTCTTTGTGTGTATTTGTTAAGCTCTAACTCACTCAAACAGTAACTGCCAGCAGCACAAGTACTTTTTAGAATGCAATCTGGTAGGTGTTTGTAATGAATTATTGGAAGAATGTTGACATTCTTTTTTGTTGTTCATATTATTGTTGTATCTAATAAAATCTCTCATTTTATTTTAAGGTGCAAAAAAGTTTCATTAAGCTCATTGTTTCTTTAAGCAGACATATTTGTGAATGTGGGCAACATGTTAAAGGTGGCAGGGTTCATTATCTACCTTTTAATCCTGTCTGCATTGTGCATAAAATGAAAATGGAACAGAAATCTGCTCACTTTATTGGCTGTTGTTTTGCTATAAGATCAGACCCTTGATGCAGTCCAATCCCTTATGTTAAAGTTTTCTCTGTGCAAATTGTTTCTTTCTTTCACAGAATTTTTTTTTTTTACAGTTTCTTCTCAAGGAAGCATTTTTGGGTTAAAGGAAAAATAAGTTTGCTCTATCATGATATGCTTCAGAAGCTGTTGGCAGTAATTCATGTCAGTTTTTATTACTTTCTCATGCTTGAGAAGTAACAGCAGAAATGTAACTAATCTAGCAGTTATCATTAGTGTCCATCTGTGAGTTTTTTTTTATTTCTATGTTCTTGGATAATACGGACATTTCAGTTCAACCCGTTACAGAGAGAGACAACATGAAATACAAATTGTGAGTTTCATTATGCTTTATAGTATCAACGCATACACAAAATCCTTGGCCAGTCAAGGTAAATGTTAATCTGGATGACACCATTAGCCAAAAATCTGACTAACATTGTTAGAAATGGAAAGTTGTCTGTGAATCAGGGGATTCTGAGAAAAACTGCTGGTGCTCCTTTTGCATGTGATGACCCAAGAATCTTACAAAATGTATCTCTTGGCCCTTTATTGCAGTAAGATGATCAAAAAATTTATGTTAAATCTTCAAACAGGTTCAGCAGTTCAGCTATAGAATGCTGCTTATTATAGACTGAGATAATGATGATGTTTTATTGCAGTTTGAACCTTGAAGCTATGATGTTCCTAAATAAATGTGCTTCTATAGCAGCTGAGCCTATTTAGTCTGCATGTTACTATTTCAGTGACATAGATCTTTACACATGCTGTAGTGGTGATTGCTTGCCAAGCCAAACATCCAATTAAAGTATATATGCAGGCCAAGAGAAGGTTCAAAGTCCAGTCTTGATGATGGTTCTGGATGGTTTATTTTTTAATTTTTCCAACAATTAAAGAGTACAAACTTTTCTTTTGTCCTACCTCTCTTGCACTGGTAAAAACATAGGAGGCCCCAAACCCAAAATGCCTGCTGGTCCTTTCCCAGGCCCCTACACTTATAGAAAGTGGACTGATCAACATCACTTCCTGTCATACCTCAGAACAATAAATAAAGAATATATAACAATACAAAAAATATAAATTCAGGAATTAATTACCACATCTCAAATGGATAAATAAATAAATATCTCCAACACATGCTATTTACTACGGAAGCGTATTGCTGTCACTTGAAAAAATTAATTTTTGCTCATTATATTGTATAAACGTGATAATTATATTGTATAAACGTGATAGTATATTGTATAAACGTGATAGTATATTGT